GTGCATGACCCCTACGCTCTATACAGAATGGCAACCGTAGATCCAGACATGTGTACAAGGTCAATAGGCAGAAACTAAACAAAGCTGATTCTCTTGGGCCAGGTGATGGCGTACGAGTTTGCTTCTTTTGCCCATCCATATTTCGCACCTGGAGAGTACACTCCAGCAAATAGACACAGGCAGAAGCAGTTTACCGGTAATAAGATAACCCGCGGGGGTTTCGTCCCGACGGTGGGAGGTCTTCGCACCTCACTTGAACACAAATTAATATGGTCTGTTTTGGGCCGATGATGATGTTAAAGCTTTCTAGCACCACAGTTGGGTGCTTGTTGCGGTAAGAACAACGCATCAGGCCTCTTGAACACGGCTACCGTGATGATTTTTCAGCCCCTTGGCTTGAGCGCTTTGAAGTAAGAGTGGGATTTTGCTTTAACATTTTTCACTAATTTGCCAATTACGTTTTGCTTGTTCCCTTGCTAGACCGGACATCCGCATTGGGGTGATATTGCCCGGGAATTGCTGAAGACTGGTCTTACTCCGCCTCGAAAGGGTCACGATGCTGGTGATCACCCGCCTATCGCTCCAATGCGTTTGGTCACCCCGAACGAGTTGGGATCGGATGCAAGTCGCCTGTACGGGTACATTGCACAGCACTTTTTAGCCACCGTACGTCAATCTGTTTTTTTTTTCTTGTCCGTATCACAGAATTCCCAACCACCATTAGGTCACAAAATGGGGCTACAAATGTTATTTGTGTGATCATTTTTGCCACATTTCGGAACGCTCTGAGTCACACTCAAGGGTTATGTCTAAGAAACACCCACTAAATCCCATGAGTTCCTCACATAGTGGCTCCCGATGATATCATATTCACATAATAATATAATATACAGGTGTTGATCGACCTTGTGCACCTTTACTCTCATTTTGAAAATCCATTTCAGTTTCCAATATCATACACGTATATTGATGGCTGTGGGTAAAGTTTGTTTATTCCTGACTTTATCTCCCACTCCAATTTTCTTAGTTCTCCCGTATCACTGTTTGAATTTGCGTGACTTTGAGTGTCGTAATATAATTTGTAGTAGTTTGAAAAGTATAGCACAGATTTGGAAAATATTTTATGCAAAGCAGTAAGGATATTCATTCTTTTTAACAAATGATTCCTGTTTCATGAGAGTGTTTAATAAGTTGACGACATAAATTCTAAAAAGCTTATATCTTTTCATTCAGTGCACAGTAAATAAGGCAATTAATGAAAATTTTCGAGCTCAAATAAATTGCTACATTATTTGACCAATAGCTACTCACGCGTTATCACTAAAACACTAAAACAATTAAAAATGTAATCCATGAAACACAATCTGACCTTCAAAGTTGACCTTAACCTGTGCGACTCGTTGAATAAGCGTTTTGTTGTATCATCATACCTAAACAGGATTTTTAAAAAATTCAAAANAAAGTTTTTTGGCCGAGGGGCACATAAATCCGATAACTCCTCTCCTGACTTGCTCAAATGCTTTGAAGTGAACAAAAGCCCGGTTTGTTTCACAACCAACGGAGTTTCTCCATCTAGAAATAAAACAGGGAGAAAACCGATCACATCGAAGCAAGACGATAGGTGAACTTGATCGCGGCTGAGAAAAGTTGCGGAGAATAATCCGGGCGGATTAGCCGTTTTTTTCATCACGCTACCGTTTGGAAAATGATGGAGTCAATCGCAAGGTCGAATTCATTCAATCGCCCCCTAGCAGCTGGGATTTGAATGTGATCGAAAACATTTCTGTTAGAAACACGGATATGTTAACTGGCTCGACTGCCTCCAGTGCTCGAAAATGAAGAAGAGCAAATAGAACATAGACAAGATTAAAGTACAATACCTGTATCAAGTCTATGAGTCATTTCGATTAATGAATTCCACTTGTTTTTTTACTGTGATTTTGTTATTTTACAATTGAGGTACAAGCAACCGTCGTCAAAATCGAGGAATCGTACATTTTCGTGGCCATCCATCAATAGAAGCAAAGACATAAGAAAATATTACTTCGCATGTGTTGCGTCTGATGTGAGATAATATCACATTTAATCTCCTGAATGAGGCTGAAAACACTAAGCGTTGGGAGGAACATATGTGATGAAAGTGTCAGGGTGCTGTTGCACGAGTTTGATCCATATTTTTTATGTAGTGCTATTGTGTTGAAGAGCAACCAGAGTGCCTCCGAAATCCTCAGTATGGCCGGGAGTGGGTGTCTAAGGTTGCGGCTGATCACCCTTCTCTTGCCCCTCGCGAAATGCTCCCATGCGACCAAGCGTCTCAAATAACCTCCACTGAGGAAGTACTACTCACTGCCTTCTCGTGGCGATGTTTTTGCACGAAAATGCAAGGATGAAAAGCCGCTTTCCGGGGCTATAACCGGGTTGGTGAACCACTGGCAGTTCACCTAGGGGAGTTGGCTAAAAACCCTGATTCCAAACTAACCAAGAGGAGGCGTACGAACCACACCCACACCTTTTCGGTTGTGACAGTGGTCACCGACTCGATTGGGCATTGAGGTGTATTGGACACCTTGGACGTTTGACCCCGTCCGAAAGGTGTATGATCGGATGAATTGGTATATAGATATGTATATATTTCACATTTGTCTGAGGATAGACTGTGTACCAGGCAAATCATGAACTGGACAACGGCCCCCAACGGATTGCGTTTTTCGCACACCGTCCCACTGCTTTGCGGGTCAGGCTTTGCTAAGCCGAAGGCTACGGTTGTGGATTCCCCAAGAAAATTCACCTGCCTTGGTCTAGAAAATCTGGCAGTATTCGGCCCACTTGCAAATCGTGGAGCGTTTTTTTTAAATAAAAATTATTGTACCATGTTTTTTTGCACAGTCTGGCATCAGATGTGTGTGAAATGTATAAATATATAACCAGAGTGGTTTACGTTCGTCCAGCTTGGATATCACCGTCCGCAAACGGTGAAGTTTGTAGCCGCAGAATGTTCTGGGGCATTTTTTAATGAAATTGATGAGAGAAGGCGGAAGCTGACTATGGAACCCCTGTGAAACTCCGCGGACTGTCTCAATAGGTCCCTGAAAGTTTGTCATCATTCCAAACAGGATAGGCCGGTAGTTAGCAGGGTTACCTCCGTAATCGCTTTTCAAAATGCCTTCATCAGTTGGGAAACAGTTTTTGGATATCCACCTAGTGTAAACTAGCCAGAGGTTCAGCTATGCGATTCGCTGAGGAGGTGAGTCTGCGCATGAATCTTGGCAACATGAGAAGGTGAATACTCACGCGACTTCAGCGCAAAGAAGTGCAGTCTGACTAAATTTGAAATTCGCTCAATGGACTGAGGAATTCTTTTCAGTCTGCGGGTTGGCACAACCAAACAACAGCTTCAATTTCACTTTGCGCAACCATTGATGCACTTCAGTGCGCCGGTTTAGGTTGCTTCCTTTGGACTGCTCATTTGGAGCAGAAAGACGGAAAAGTTGAGAGTAGAGTAGAAGAGAAAATGGAGACTTTCAGTGAACTGAGGTTGCAAAGAAATTGAGAAGATGCACGGGTACTGCTGATTGCGACATCCGGCCGTATCACTCAGTGTCTCCAATCACTGATTACTATGATCCTGAGGTCCCCATGCAGGAAGTCTAACGGGACCTATGTGACCGGGTCTCCTGGTTGGGGTTTTCATACCCTCATGCCAGGTCTTAGCTTGACCACCCCTGGCTTTTGCCACCTACTACCTGCCTCTGCAAACATCGCGCGCCGTTGCAATCTATTTGGTGCGATGCTCAGCACATGTCCCAACCAGCGTAATCTATGGTGATAGATGACTTACTTCAGTGGGCGACCGCGATTACCTAAAACTGCGCCTAACCTCAGCATTACTTGTCCGATTACCGCACCAAATTCGTGCAATTCTGTGTGGACAGCGGTGTTCGAACACCAACAGTCTATCTTTGTACTGTTTTCCTAATAGCTAAGTTTCTGCGCTGTATAGCAGAACTGACCGAACTGCTGCAGTGTACACTTAACCCTTCATTGTCAGCCGAATGTCGCGACCGCGCCACAGATGTCTCAATTTGGCTACTGCCGATCAACCCAATTTGCCCTTCATCAATCCCTTGGGTCAATCTTTGCTAACCCTGCAGGCACTTGACACTCATTGTGATACATCGTTGTTTCGTACGCTGTACGTGTGCTATTCTGTTTGCTTCTTTTGGATTTGGTATGGTGGACGTAAGATTTATGTAGTTTAATGAGCTGTTGTTGCGTCTCGACACTCTACCATCAAATCTTGTCTGCAAAACTTTTGCTAACAGTTTCCATTTAGAAAACAGTGCGAGTGATTTTTTAGAGCATCGAGCATCGATTGTTCAGAGGCACCAGGCACCCCTGACACGGGGACACGAAAGTACCTACTGCTGATGAGTCCCAAACAGATCGAAACAGCTGATCAGTGCTCTTTATCGGTTATCACAAGCATTTCCATGGCATTTAAAATGCGAATGGTTATTGAAAGCGTCAGCCAACTACGTTAGAATAGGGCATGCACTTTACAAAAGCGTAGGCAGCATCCGTGCGTAGATTTCAATTTCATCGAGGCTACTGAAATTTTCACAATCTCAACATAAAACTTCAATCTGCCAAATAACAATTTGTACGTTAGAATAATAGAAACAACGTAGCCCATTTATACAGTTTCGCACAGTCCTAATGGCTTAGATAGAAAGACATATGAGCTCCGATAAAGTGACTGGACTGGTCAGCTCGTAGTGTGCTATCGGTTACTTTGGTTTCCACCAGTCCCCGAATATCGGCTCTTCGTTCTCTCGCTTTGGTGGAAAATCACCTCAGCCACGAGAAGGCAGTGAGTTGCGCTTCCTCAGCGGAGGCTGTTTGAGACGCTTGGTCGCATGGGAGCTTTTCGCGAGGAGCAAGATAAGGGTGATCAGCCGTAACCCTAGACAAGCACCCCCGACGATACTGAGGCTTTCGGGGGCTATTAAACCGGATACTTGAGACATTCCATCATAAGTGCCTCCCAGGCGTCACAACCAGCGTCCATCAGAGCTTGATCAGATTATATCAATAGTACGTTTAAAAATGTGTTGTGTTCTGTTGCGTCAGATCGACCATATGAAAATCGTGTTACACTAGCGTACAAAGCCCAAACAATTGTCTGGACTCGATTTAAATGGAGCATTTCTCATGTGTTCCTCTGGCGTTCTATCCTTACCCCTTATGTATATAATATACTCAACAAATAACTCTGCGCGTCCTTTTGCTTGTAATTGTACTGTTTGACAAAAGTATGTGTACGCTTTCTACTGCTATTCACAAGTATTGAGTAGCGGGAAAATACATATGTCACTTTGAAATGTCCAAATGCCTGCTTTTAAATTCGTTAATCATGAAACGAAACGTCCTTCATAACACAATATGTTCATTATGGATACAATAAATGTTAACTATCCTTTCTGTATACCGGTTTTCATCTAGCGAATATCTACATCATGAACAGATACATATGCCTTACTCACTCATCGTGTCCATACGTGCCTACCTCGTCCTTCAGGTCATGCCTGATTGTCGTTACGAGTCCACACAGGTCCTCGTTTCGATCGGTGAAGATGAACAGTTCACTGTGACCGGAACAAAAGTAATCGATCCGGGCTATACCCGGGTGCTCACCTGGCAATCCGTGGAGGAAAAGACACTCCCGGACGCGGCCTTGATTCGTGGTGCTCGTCTCACCCTGGCCGATGAACCGACTTTGATTGAGGGGCAAACGGGACCGCCGGACTATCTGACAGAGGCGGAACTAATCACTGCGATGGAGCGTCATGGCATCGGAACGGATGCGTCTATCCCGACACACATTGAAAATATTGTTCAACGTGCTTATGTCCAAGTAAGTGTTGAGTGTTGCGCACACATTTGAACAATGCAACCATATCTGACTCGCTTTAAATCCGTTTGAATCCCGAATTGGTCAGGGGAGAGCTCTTGCCTTCCTCTAAGTCCAAAAGTTTCATCTCAGGCATGATTATTAGTTCTAGCCGGGATATGACCAAGGATCGGATACACACTGATACTCCTCCCTGTTTCCATCTGTCTGATTGGATTCCGGCCTACTGGTTCAGATGTGCGAAATAGTAGTCAGCGAAAAGTGTGACAGTAAAGCGCAGCAGTGATACCATCATCGTACTCTGAGCGAATCAAACAATACAGTTTCG